CGGCTCCGGCGTCCTCGCAGCCGGCGTCGGGTTAGCCGAGGTTGCGCGGGCAGCAAGGGCAGCCCCGACCTACGCGATTACTTTCCCCCCGCCCCCCACAGCTTAGTTTTCCTTACTCTACAATAAAGCCCTTCTTTGCTTTCTCACCTCGTTATCTCTTTTCCTTATCCGCTTTTGGCATGCTTCAGTCGTAATCCGAAGTTACGGGCAACCCCCGGGCACGTCCCCGGCCCGGCCCCCAGGACATTTTCGGGTCATAGGGACAGAAATGATCACTGGCCTTACGTGGGTTTTAATAGCTACAGAAACAGCCTCGTCTTTCCTTTCTTCTACTAGCAGATTTTGGTCAAAGGCTATCGGAGGTCAGGATTTTTTTTTTTTTTATTTTTTTTTTCCTAAATAAGTCAGCTTTCTAAAGCTACATTCCTCCTTTAAACCGAACACAAAGCTCTTATTTATCACTTTCTCTTTAATCAGCAGCAGAAGAAAAACTCGCTGTGAATGCCCAGAATCCCTGAAAGAGATCACACTTTTCCTTTGCACAAATCAAAGTTATCTGCTCCCATTATATCCTCCAGTTAAAATGAATCATAAGCCTCCATCCCACTGAGTTTTCTTGGGGATACTTGTTTAGCACAGACGAGAACGATACGCTTCACATCTAAAGAGCCCAGGGTGTCAGAAGCCAGCTGATAGAGAGTATTGAGAAACGTCCTATCTTTAAAACACATTTTTACTGCCTTTCTACCTCCCTCGTGCATGGCAAACAGAAGTCAGAGAGCAGCAAAGAAGAGATTTATCAGCGAGAGATCTGAGTGGTGATTACGTGTTCTGTCAATAATTAATTGAATTATGTCCTCAGCATAATTGCATACAGTCCTCTTAGCCGGGACTGGAAAAGAAAGAAGGAAGTTGTGGTGTGGTCGGAGGGGGATCTCAGGACACAGTTCCAGTCATTAAAATGTGATGTAACATTGCAATCTGGTGTATTCTGAGGCACAAATGGGGAAACACAAACGAAACCAACTACTAAAATACTATTCGCTTTACAGCAGGGAGACGGCAAAAGCACTTGCTTCTTTCACTAGCTGTTCTCATGACTACTTTCTGCTGGGCATTCAGGGGTTTTATGATGAACAGACCAAAGGTCTTACTCATTTGATCTATAAGCTATGTGTTGCAGGTTCTGTATTGTTCACCACATACTAACCGACTAAATTTGATTTTTCTGATATTTGAAATAAAAGCTAAAATCAGTCCAGAAATTAAAATCAGCCCAGCAAAGCATCATATATCCAATACAAATCCAGAAATTACACATTCAAAGAATCTTGCAAGCAAATTCTTACTCTGACACTAATTTTTCAGTACTTCTTCTAGTCATAAGGGAGATCATCATATCATTATTAATTTATTATTTACTAAGAGCTGTTAGAGTGCTCTTTTGGTACACAAATGCAAGAAAACAAAGGGCTTGATTCAGTTCTCACACAAGTTTTGCTCTGGTGCAACTTCAATGACACGGGTGTAGTCACTTCAGAACCACCTGGGTGTAATTATGATCAAAATCTGGGCTATTGCACTTCCTTTGCTTTTTCTAATGGTTCAAAACCTCTATTTTTCTACAGCATGCTGCGGAAGACAGACAGCTGTTTGAATACAGAGCTCAAAAATCATTCTCAAGTTCCTCCTCACTGCCAGTGCCAGTGTCCTCAATCCTGCCAGAACTTCATCACGTCAGCACATTTCCTCACCGTTCTGCACCTTCCCTGCAGTGTGAGAGTTGTAAACCCCATCGATACGTGTTTGTTGCCTTCCACCCATTAAGGCACATCCCCTCGGTCTCTCGAGCTTTAGGTCAGGTAGCTTTTCATTTTAAACACTTTTAAGCATCCAGCTGCCAAAAGGAATCTGACACCTGCTTCCTTCTTTGCAAATTTCTCTTTTCAGACAAATTGTTGATGATGCCTCTTGAAAAGGGGTTCATTTATGACCTCCACTTACTTGACTACTCCATGTATTTCTCATCTCCTTGGCCTTCCACCTGCTTCTTCAGAGATTTTGGAAGTGGTTTACAGTGGCAAATGCGCTGACAATCAACAGCCAAAACCATCTTAACTAGAACAGTAAGCAGTACTCAATACTTCCTCTGTGAGAATACATTACAGGACAAAGTTAAAATCCTTCAGCTAATACGTTCTGTGTAGGAATTCTTCTCAGGGTACAATGCTTATGCTCACAAAAGCGAGGATCCCTCAGTCTGGTCCATGGAGTTCCTGTGCCCATCAAGCATAGAAGATCAGGCCTATCTGATGTTTCCTCTCTCTTTTCCAAGTTAATAGCTCCTTCCCAACTTTGCTCATGGAAGCATTTGCTTCCATTTCTTTTCAAGTAATAAATACCCTCTATCTCGTAAGGACCTTTAGGATATGGCCGGATGGGGTAAGGTAGTTCAACCTCCTACACATCGCTCCCCCAGTGCGCAGAATTACCCTGACACAGAGCCGATCCCTGAATGTCTGATAAAGACAACGTCTAAGAGCTGCAGTTCTTACTGGAGACGTTCAAGGATGAATTGGCACATGGCCCCTGGCAGAAGGGGATTCCATTATCCATTATAGAGTAATGGGCACTAGAATAAATGATAAACAGATTTAAGTTTTACTGAAACCCCTAGCAATGAGGGTAAGGCCCATGGCGAAGCTTTCTGTCTGTCTTCTCCCTCTCACCTTCTTAGGCTTATAAAGTAACTAGTGCTTGAGCAGTCTGCATTTGACTGAACTTTCACATCCATTCCAAGGCACACAGGTGGGATTTTTAGGGTCTTATCTCTGTTTCCTTGACGGGTCTGGCTTTTCTTGCTTGAAGAGTCAGTCAGGATGTACATTCCTTGCAGTAGTCAAAATTCAGTATACTTATTTAATCACTCCAGGTATTCAGGCACAATTCCTCAAATGATGTGCCACGCTGTGGGATTTAAACGAGGTCTCACAGCACAGAACCTCACTTCGAGTATCATAAACTTGAAAAATTTTGTGTTGAAACATCTTTCAGAGCTTTCTCAGAGCTCATATAACTTCATAAGCATAATTATGCCAAAGTTACAGTTAGTGCCAAGGACCTGATAGTGGAAATAATTTCTAATAAAAATTATTACATAGCCTAAGGATAAATTTTAAAGCATACACTTATGAAAAATGGTATTTTATTTAATGATAAGTAAAATTTAAAGGTACATGTTATGATTTGTTTAAATTGTTATAAGGGAAGTGACCCTTATAGAAACTGTGGGACTGGGCTGAAGAAATTCCGGAAGTTGCACAATTCAATGCAAGAAAAAAAAAATTTTTAGTTATTTGATCACTCACCATTTGTGATGAAGGACAACCTGGAAAGAAGAGGGCACAAGGCTGCTGTCAACCACATTTGCAACACATGGACATAGAGAACATACTGTGCTACTGACACACAGACACATGCATACAATTGCAGAGATCAAAATTAGCCCAGAGTGGTTTTGGAACATTGGAAAGGGAGAGGCAGGGAGTTGTGCATTTTATAGAATGAAATACTTATTTCAAAAAGTGATAATTACACAAAAAATTAAGCAAATCACCAATTTAATTTCTATTTCTTCTCACTCTAAGTGGAACACAACCACTACATGTATGTCAGTGAATAATGAGCAGTTCTGGGGAAATGGAAAATATTAGATGGAACTCAGTTGTCTTGTTTCCTCTATTTAATTTTATCTTTTTTTTTTTTTCCTTGTAACTGTATATTTCCTTCTCTACAATGCATATCGCTGGAATGATTATGCTGAGCTCTTTTTTTTTTTTCATTTTCATGCAGATCTATAGATTTTTTTAGTTAGTGTTTAGCTGACCGATGTATCTCTGATACTAAATAATCTACTACAACATCAAACTAAGCTGATAGTTCTATCTACCTGATTAGAGCAAAGGTGTGGCAAGCAAAAGCAAGAAAAGAATTTGTAATACATGGAACCATTCCCCAGAACTGACCTGCAAGACCTCTCCTGTTCCCATGAGATGCCTTCACTTGATTCCCTCAGCTGAAATAATTTCCAGAAATGATCTATTGGGAGGAACAGAATGGAAGAAAAGAAGAGCAGATCGAGGAAGAAATGTCATTGATCTTGCTTTTCATTTTTTTACTGACTGAACTTTAAAGTCTTCAGCCACATTCTCACAAACACAAAGAAAGGTTTGGAGACACTCTGTAGTGATTTACCAGTAGAATTGAAACATATTGGTGTGTACCACAGAAATACATCTGTTTCCTCAAGTTGGATAGGAAGCCATCCAGAGGGATGCATATTGACACTTCCTGCAGACACTGCTGGAATCTGGAAAGATATCCTTTGTCTTTTACTGAATATTCTGTGTTACTATGAACCCACTTTGGAATCTTTTGTTTTGTTAATAAATCTAATTCTTAGAAATGGGACTTTACACAAAGGAAAATGAGACTTTATCTTTCCAGCTATTGAATGTGCCCACTGACTCACAATTCATTTCCAGATCTGTCAAGCTTCTCTTGCTCAATGTAGTAAGACAGTACTTCATGGCCGAGAGGATGGGGAAGAAGCCATCGAGCATATAGCGTCTCTGTGGGAGACTGCAGCACTGCATTACAAATGCATGAGATAAGGCCCAAACTCATGGGACAATGAAAAGAGGGAGCCAGTTGCCTATTTCCCAGGCACGGCACTGACAGTTGACAGATATGCCCAGCTAAATATTGTCTGTGGAACCTTGTACTATTTTTAATGCCAGGTGAGCAATCAGGGCATTCATTATAATTCCCATGTAATTTGTTTTTAGACAATGGCTGTGTCATCATTGTAAAATGGAATTTGGGGGTTTTTGGAAAAAAAATCAACACTTAAGCCATACTTTTGAGCAAGTCAAAAGACACCCAAGGGTATGATTGCCTTGTATGCTGCTCTTTTTAATAAGGCCAAGGAAAAGCATCACTGGATGGGATTATAATCAACTGCTGCTTTAATGCAGACAATCGAAGAAGGCTCCTTACTGATGGTTGTAAATTCATCATTAAGGATACCACTCAGAGTCATTTGGCATGACTTTTTTATGCACAGAACAGAAAAGTGCAGTATTAGTTCCTGAGTGATTGGATGAGTTGTACATCCATTAATGGACGTAGCAGAAAATGTTTCCCAGCTTTGACTTATCTCCTACACCAACTGAGAAGATGCAGATTGTCTTGCTGTTGTTTACTCAAAATTTTGGTGCATTTTTTCACTCTGTCCAAGATCCTGTTTATTTGAGAACCTGCTATCATCATGCACTGTAGATTTTACTGCTGACTCTGAGATCATAACAGTCTGGCTGTGTTCACGTATTATGAAATCTACAGGATGACAGGCAATATGAGAGCAAATTAGTTGCACTAATCCTATAACGGATAAACATTTCTCAGTTCACTGCTTTGGGAAACGAGGGAATTGGTAGATCATAAGCCCAGGAAAGCTGGACAAATTTTTGATCGAATGATTTATCCACCCAAGTTGCCAGTTCAACCTGGCTAAAATCCACGTCATCCACCTGAAAATTGCAAAATGATTCCAACAAGAATTAATTAAAACATAAAAACATTAAAAGTAAAAACTCAAAAAATCTATACTCATATTTTCATGATAGACCACCTTTTTCATTTAAGATGTATCATTTCTAAATATAGCTAGATTTAATTTTCCAGAAAAAAATACATAAAACAAAGAAATGAAAAGTTTCATTTTCTATTTGGCCAACCAAAAATCTACATTTTCATGTTATACAAGTGAAATAAAATATACATTATTCAAATTCCCTGCTTCATAGTCTTTCTTCCTGTTCATGAATTGTTCATGAACTGGTTATGATCTGTTAATCTATTCTTTATCCACACACTTCATCGATCAAATTACATGAGCAAATTTCAGCCAAGAACATATCAACTAATTGTTCACTTAGGGTATTTATTTAACTGTGATATATGACCATCACTTATACAAATGATGACATATTTGCTTCCCTGCTGGATATATGATTTTTTTTTTTCAGAGAGGACGTACCAAATATCAAGTCATGACATTTCTCAGATGTGAATTTTCGGATGAATAATCATTAAATGTTTAAAAGATATACAATGTTTCTATCTAGACAGCAGTATTATCCACCTTTAAGCCATCAATGCGTTTTCAGCGCTCTGAACCAACTTATTTTATTTAACCATATGCACAAACTATAGATATAGTTTATAGAAGAGACTAGATAATAAGAATGCTCTTTAAAAAAATAAAAAAAGCGCCTAGATTTCAATATTTGGGTTTCCAGTATAAACAATGTCTTTTTTCCCCTGTAAGTAATAGTAAGAATTCATCATACCTCAGCTGCCAGATACTTAGGACACTGACTTAAAGGAGGATGTTCTGGTAAAAGCCCAGCCCATGTTCATGGATCCGAACCTGGAATTTCCATACCCTTGCTGATATCACAGCCTGTCAAATACACAAACCATTTCCTTGGAACTGTAGGGGAGCAGGTACTGATCAGCACTTGTGGGGGATGGTGGGAGAAAGACTGCTCACTTTCCTAGGAAAGGTACTTATTTAGGATTACAGTATCAAGCAAAATATCAAGTGCATTCCAGAACCGTAAGGCTACTATTTAATCCCAGATAATTGTCATTCTTCCTGATTTTATTCTGACTAGAAAGTCTATTCTGATATGAGAAACTTTCCCAATGAAAATTTACTTTTAGCCAATACGTTCCCCCATAAAATAGCTGAATTTACCAGAAATGTACTCCCCCCCCCCCCCTCCCCCCAAAAAAAAGTTCCATTCAAAAGTTTCAGGCCAGCTCTAGGACGGACTTTTGGAGTCGCATGTAACTGTCTTCATAGTCTGATTGGTCAACATGTTTACATATCTTCCCCTGCTGTGCATACAATCAAGCATTGTGTAGGCAGGCATCCTGGCCAATAAAATCTCAAAAAGCAGTGAAACATGCCCATCAGTGCAAGCAACAGTTCTCAGTATAAATAATTGTCACGTCTCCCCAGGCTCATTTTCTTTCCTTTCTTTCCCTCTCCCCTGCATTTCCTCAGAGATGTTCTTTCTCTGTCAACATAGCCCCGTGTTACTTCTCTGCAGCTCTGCTGCCCTCCATTCTAAAATCTGGCATTACAGTGAAACTTCCAAGAATTCCATTCTCTGAAGCATTATGAGTCACACTGTAGTCTTCAGCAATATTTTTAAAACACCAATGTTTTTTTAATCACTCTTGAGACCCACAGAAGAAAGTAAGGATATTATCTTGCTAACTTACAGTCGTGGTTGTTTTTTCTATTGCCACCCACACTCTCTCATCTTTCTCCAGATACTCTGCTCCAGACTCTCAATAGTGCAGGCATA